GTCCTAGTCTTGGTCCTGGTCTTAGTCCTGGTCTTGGTCCTAGTCTTGGCCCTGGTCTTAGTCCTGGTCTTGGTCCTAGTCTTGGTCCTAGTCTTGGTCCTGGTCCGTGGTTCGTCTCTCTCCACTCCTGAACATGATTCGACTTTTTGTAGCAGATCATCACAGATTTTTGTTTATTGGTGTTGCTTTGATTGACAGGTCCCTCAGCCTATCACAGGCTGATCCTGGCACTCAGCTGATGTTTGGTGTTTGATTGATTGAATCTGACTGTGTGTGAGTCTGTGGCGCCTCCCAGTGGACAGATAAAGTTGCTACAGCCTGAACTGCAGCTCAGGGTCAGTGTGCATGAAGGAGACTGTGGTTGTCCTGCAGGACTCAGAGGTCAAAGGTCATAAACTTAAATCTTTTAACCACCAAGTTTCTTTTTGAAGGATTTTCATCTTCAGTTGCTGTGTTCTGAAACAGAGTTAAATAAATATACAGTTTACTTCACTCATAATGTACTTTGATTTTTTAAATGTTTTTTCGTCACAGTTTATTACACAAGGAGAATTTCACAAGCTGCTTCTCATTATTCTGTCACGTGCTGATGAAACATGCAGGACGTCCTGCAGCGAAGTGGACAGCATCATTCCAGCCGTGACCTCAGAATGACGTCACAGCTTCACTGACAATAAAAACAGAATGAGCTGAATTTGAGAAAGTGACGACGCCTTAAAGACCAAGTTTACGTCACAGCTGAACTTCATTGATTCATGTTCCGAATGCAAACTGACCTGCAGACAGATCTTTATTAACAACAGACTGCACGGTGGCGCTAATGGTAACCATGTCCCACACATGACCGGCGAGCATTAGAGCTGTAACACACTGCAGAGCCGCTAAACACACTTTAAATACATGAAACTAAATAAGCAGCTCCTGCGTCTGAACATGGAGGTTTTCCTGCCGTGATAAACTTTATGTGACTGTTTCCTCCTCCAGCGGCTGAAGAATGCAGCCGATTCCGGATCCTCTGTGCACTTTTATTGTCTCAGGCTCTTCCTGTTTCCTGTCTGCACAGCTCCCATTGTTGTTAGGGCAGCGAAGAGGAAACGCCACCACTGTCCAACGTCTTACTGCTCTCAGAGGACAGGACACAGTGTTCGCCAACGACGTCCTCACTGCTGCTGCTGACCACTCAGTCCACGTACTGCTGAGCTACACCTGCTGCACACTATACACGTGACAACATACTACACACGTGACATCATACTATAGAAGTGACAACATATTACAGGCATAACCACATAGTATACATGAGACAATATACTACAGATGTACCAACATACTACACACATAACAACATAGGGGGCGGCTGTGGCTGAGGGGTAGAGTGGTTGTCCTCCAACCAGAAGGTTGGCAGTTGGATCCCCAGTCTTCTCCATCTGCATGCCGAAGTGTCCTCAGGCAAGATGCTGAACGCCTCATAGAAAAGAACTGCTGCTACTAGATTCACTGTATGAGTGTGTGTGTGACTGAGTGTCATCAAGACTACTAATACAAACCATTTACCATTTACTACTACTTACACAACATACTACACACATGCCAACATACTACAGATGCAACAACATACTACACATATTTTACACACCAAACTGCTTCCTGTTCCTGTTTCAATTAGCCAATAAGGACAGAGGAAAGCATGGTGGACATTGGACTTCAAAGTAAGAGTCTTTATGTATTTACACGTTTTATTTCGAAACTTCAATAAAG